TCCCTGGGTTTAGAAAGTTAGAAAGTCTAAAAGTCTGTCCAGAACTGACAGGGAAGGGTACAAAAATAGGGGAAGCATGTAAGAATAAAACTGACGGAAGCACCCTGTGCAGGGAGAATCCTAGGGGTATGAAACCCGTCATTGTAGATTTGAGGGTCAGAGTAGCTGTGGAAGCCTGAAGACTTCTGAAACCAAAGGAAGGAGAGGGTCCAAGTGCTGTGTCCTGAGAAAGGAACTTGGTTTGCCAGCCCTTACAGGCCTGGAGGTGAGAATGTTTACAGGATGAGTGGTAGACAAAAGCGGTGACATAAAACAAATAAACAGTAATCTAATGCTCAGCCACAGTAATGGCTAAAGGCCCACAACACTGAGAAAAGGTACAGTCATCTCAGAAGGACGTAATGTTTTTATTTCCTAGCTAAAACAGCTTCACTGGAATTTGCTTTACTGTTGTGAATTCTCCAGCTATAACCAAGCCAGGAACTGCTATTCCAGAGCCGTGGTCCTCACAGCCTGGATAAGCCATGTGCAGAGCCACGCTTTGTGCATGTGCAGCTGGATGGAACTGGGGCTCCCGCTAGCGTGGCAGGGCATTTCCTCACTGTGTGAGGTCGGCTGGGATACCGGCTGCCTGGCAGGTCTCTTTGGTGCCTGGGGACTGCGGTCAGACTGGAGACTTTGGGAGCTGCAGCTCTGGGATAAAGGGCAGAGCTGGGGATGCTGACTTGCTTGTCTGTAAGAATTGCTGGCCACCGACTGCTCCACCTTTTGGAATTGCGTAATGCACTGTGGCCTGCGGTAATGGCACAGTGCTGTTGCAGACAGAAGAGCTGGAGCAGCATCCTTTCTCTTGCTTTGAGTCTGTTTCTTTTGGATAGGCTGCTTATGGTAACAAGAGATTGGGCTCTGAGGCAGAAGTCTTTTTTGCATCTTGTTTTCTAGGGACATAGCACTATCTGGGATGAAATGGTATCTCTTCACTAAGAGATCGGAATCCCTGAGCTGTGTTTCTGGATCTTTTCCTGCCCTGTAGTGCACGTGGTCCTTCCTAGGAAAAGACTCAACACTATTTGTCTGCCTCAGGTACCACAAGATCCCTAGGAATCCCTACAAGCCTAACCACTTCACAGGTGGGAGCTCCAGTGGGTCAGCAGCAGCTGTAGCAGCAGGTAGGTGGTCCTAAACAGAGTTCAGGGGTGGTGGGAGGAAGGTCCTGAGCTAAAGGACCTCAGGCATTTCGTTTTTATGAGTGGGTTTAGAAGCTGGAGGGAACTCTCAGCTGAACAGAGAGCTCTGTGTGCTGTCTTGGCTACAGCTGCTGGGTAGAATGGACAGGGGCAACAGGATGTCTCTCTGATCACAGGCCAATGTGTGGGTTTTTTTGTAGGTCTCTGCCCAGTGGCTATTGGCACAGATGGAGGTGGCTCTGTGAGGATTCCTGCTTCGTTCTGTGGTGTGGTGGGGCTGAAAGGTAGAGCCCTTTAATCATGGAGGGGGTGTGTGTCTTGTTCGCTGTATCAGATAGAATGCCATAAACAAGTTGGGCACAGTCCATTAATTCCCATCAAGCAAAACTCGACCAGAGAAACTCTGGAGTATAACACTCTGAGAGTCATGTGGGTTGTACTGGCAGAATGGAAGCGTTCTCAGTACTGGCTGTTGAACAGATGTTCAAAAAAACCTAACTTATTTGAGTCAAGAGCTAAACAAAATGTGCTTGCTGCTTTTATTTCTACCCACTTGTCCCTCTTCTAATCTTCCTTCTCTGCTGGGAGGTATCCCCAGCATAGTTCAGTATCTGTAGCGAGCTGGTGAAAAGCATCTCCACCCATGATGGGTTGCCATCAGCCCAATTATATGAAGAGGCTGATGCTGCTCAGATGTGTATCTGGTAAGTTAAACCTGGTCAGGCTTGCATGAAACTAGGATGTAGCCATTCCCTCTTATCTCAGTGTAACAGGAAGTAGCAATGCACTTTTTGCAGTAAGAATTAATGTAATCAAGGGAAATGTGCAGAGGACATAAGAAATGCACACGGCAGTGTCTGCAGGAGAGGCAGGATTGCCACTTGGAAAAGGTGCTGGCTTTTTGGAATGGTTTATCATTCCAGAGGGTGTTGGCTGCTTCATCTGAGACCAGATACTCAGCCATTACTCTGTTTTCCCATCCTTCACATGTGATCAACTTGATTAATCTTGATTCGTCTGAGGAAGATAATGATGACGGTGACAAAAACGTAATGGTCAGAAAGGTGATATGAGTACTCTCAGAAGACAGCTGGTGTTAGACATGAAGTCTCGCTGGTGAAGTGGGTGAGATCTCCCAGGGCGTGGTATCTCCTGCTGTTGATAATCCCGCTCCTGCCTCTCTGTCCTCCGTATCATAGATGCTGCTTCTGCATATTTAAGTGCATGTATTTCAAAATGTCCCCGCACATACTTCCCCTCAACTAAATAATTTCTTACAGGGGAAAACAGTTTCGCTGTTTGTTGAACGCATCTGTTTCACTAATGAGACAGATCGTCATCAACAGAACAGGGTCTTGAAAGAGGAGCGACTGGGCTCTGAAATGGCAGGCATAGAAGTGACTGGCAGGGGTGTGTTGCTTACTGACTGGGTGTACCAGAGCCATCCAGGTGAGATCTTGCCAGCGACTGCTGGTATCTGTCTAACTGCCCATTTCTTCTTCTCCAGGTACATTTGGGCGCATCAGTTCTCATGGCAGCTTGCCACTCTCCTACTCCACAGTCAGCGTAGGTAAGAGGACTTGTGCTCCACTTCAAGGACCTTGCTGTGTGGTGTTCTCACAGGGGAGGCAAACTGTGCCTACAAAAGACCTTGGGAGGAAGGTGCTACTTACCCCTTGTCACATTTTTATAACTGATCTCTCTTTTACAGGCCCTCTCTGTACCTCAGTGGCAGATGCAGCCATTGTTTACAGTATCCTTGCTGAGCCAGATCCGCTCTATCCCTATGGTAGGTGAGCCCTCGCCTTCCCTGAGCCCTCGCCTTCCCTGAGCCCTCGCCTTCCCTGAGCCCAGGTGCTCTGCCTTCCTAGAGACATCCTAGATAAAAGGAGGAACTCTCATTTGTTCCCTGCAGGACTAAAACAGCCCAAAGCAACCCTATCTGGTATGTGTGCTCCTGACCTGAAAGGCTTAAAACTGGGAGTGGACTGGACATTTTTTAAGGTGCCTGTTCTCTCTCTCTCTCTCTTTCTGCTGCTTTGCAAAATGAGATTTTGAAGGAATTCAGTGCATTCACTGTTCTCTTGCCTGTCATCATTACAGCTTCTCATATTTAGTCCTATAATTGGAAGAGAATATAGCCTGGATGAAAACATCAGCAGAGACAGATATTTTTTTCCTAAGGCAGCCTTTGAGTAAAAGTCTGTTGGAGGTGTAAAGAAAGGTAATGACTGTACAGCTGATGGCAGTATGCTTCCTCATACTGCTGTTTCTATTGGAAGCAATGCTTCTGAACAGATTACAAATGGCAGTTAGTTAAAAAATGAAATGAGGAAAGTTAATGTATCCGTTTGGTGACAATGCTGTAGCTGCTGAGTGGTGTTTCATCATTCCAATGTAGAAACCGGGCATGCAAGCTAGTACTGCTTGTCAGTTGTAATGCAGCCCCACAGATCTGCTCAGCATTTCTTCCCTGGAGGAAAACAAGGACTCTTTCTCACTCTGCCCCAGTGCAGAGGAGGATATTCTCTCCTCTGGAAAAGACAACCTTTCCTTTTCTATAGGGGTTTGACCTGTAAGCTGTTTTCTTGGAGCAGGTGGCCTAAGGCAGTCCTGGAGGGCTGTGTTTCGCTACTATTAGGGACAGGAACAAGGAAAGCTCCATGAGGACTGAGGTCCTGGTGAGTGTGCTCACCAAGGAGAGGAAGGCAGTGACTGAGGTCTGCTTCGTTCTTTCCTCTTTTTCTCTAGGCATGTGATGCTGAAGTCCTGTCCGTCTGTGAGAAAGGTAAAGAGGAAAAGTTTGTAAGTCTCTTATTCTGCCTGATGTCATGGTATCACTTGGTGCTCCTCTTACGTATGCATTAAAAAGATCTTACCCAAAGTCCTTAAAGGCAGATGCTTAAAGAGGTCTGGCTGGTCAAACAGCAGTAGCTTTGTATTAGGGAGGCCCTCCTGACTGCTGAGGGGTAAAAAGCTCAGCAGTTGTAGGCTTGTCGGGTTACAATGGAAGAATGCAGTCCAGTGTGCTAAGGCTCTGTCTGTATAAAGACAGATCTGTGCTCAGTAATACTTACTCTGCAAGCTTTAATGGTAAAAGCCTTTCAAGGGAGGGACTTGTTTCACAACATAATGTTCAGTAGGAAAGACAGGGCTAGGTCTTTGTGCTGTATCCAGTCCTCTGGTATTTCCTTGAAATCAGCCAAATGATGCCTTTAGGGTAGCTTTCTCACATTATAGACTAAGCAAAACTGACCCTGGTGAGTACTTGGGGGGGGTGGAGGAGAAAGATTCTACAATGCCTGGTATAGTAGTTGGCCTCCTATGCATTGGAGCTGAGAGAGTTCACAGTATTCAGGCTTTGTTTGCCTGGAATTTCTTCAGCCTCCTTATTTCCATAGACACTCACACTTCTACATGTGTAGAGGTTTCTTAGGAGGGATGCACTAATAAGCCAGTGAAATAGGCAACTGGGGTATTTATGAAGAAGTTGGGGTCAAAGAAAGAAGGGAATTCTTTTTAGACTGCAAAAGATTCACTTTTCCCAAAGACTTGATGTTCAGCCTTGCTAAAGTGCATCAGGATTTAGTGAACCTGTACTGTTGACCTGGTCTCTGGACTATCCCCGGGGTCCTCTACCATTATGGTTCAGAAGGGAATCTCATGATGATAAATAATCACTTCATGCTGATAGAATACCGATCATGTCAAGTGCTCAGGGAAGCATTATCAGTCCACCTTTACTCTTTGGGTTAACTGAGGGGCTCGAGGGAGGAGACAAACTTGCCAGAAACGTAGTGGGTAAGTTAGGAACCTGTCTGCAGGCCCCTACCCCTGCCTTGTTGGAATACTGAGATCCAGTTAGACTGAAGGCTTTTACCTACAAGAAGCAGCTGCAGCAGTCTGCATGCCACATGATGCACTGAAGATGCTTGCCTTGTAATGGCCTACAGGGCCTTTAACTTCTCAAGGGGGTGAGGATTCACAGCCCTTTTATGAAGTTTGGGGAACTCAAAAGGATGCTGTCTCCGCTTTACCTGTTCTGTACTCAGCTGTGGAACACCTGCAGAGTTTGGGAGCCAGCGTGGTTGAAGTGTCTCTTCCAGAGATGGAGGAAGTGCGAGTAGCACATGTAATCTGCATTCTCAGTGAGATGAGGGACTTCCTGCAACCTGACTTCAATAAACATTTCCATGAAATGGTAAGTAGCAGCAGCTTGGATCAGTGGCAGTAGTTGTCCTGGCTGACACAAAACAAGTGTCATGTCAGTGAGAAACCTGAGGCGCTCCTGCTTTTTCTATGACAAACCACCTGTTGGGTTACTAGTGATAAAGGAGAGCAGACCTGGAAGAGAGCTCCTGGGCTCTCATTGAGAATGCTGAAACATTCCGTTTCTTGCAAGCAGAGCCATGATCGATGTTTTCTCTTTCAGAATTTGGACACTCGGGCTAACCTGGCCTTGGCGTCCCAGTTCACGGCTCTGGATTATATTACGGTAAGGAACATACTGTGGTGAAGGTTGAAGGGATGCACCTAGTGAAATTGTAAAGGTGGGGCAGAGGATTCTCTTAACCTCCCCATACACATGGAAAGATACCGCCCAGATGTACTGCCCTCTGCTATGAAAGCATGCGGAATGGTGGGGCACCACAGAAGACATGCCACGTGGATTGGTGTCCTGCATGTTGATTCCAAACTGCAGGAATGGTGTCTCTTTTTGCAAAGGCATAGGCTTTGATGGGCAGAATCTCATCATCAAACATGAGCCTCATGAACCGAGGGCCTGGTCAGACAGTAGTCTCTCTGCTTGCAGGCAAATCGACAGAGAACTCGGAGCATGAGATTTCTGCGAGAGATCTTCACCACTGTGAACTGTATCCTTACACCAGGTATTGGCAGCAGCAGTGGCCAAAAAGCTGGTCTCCAACAGCTGTGTGGTGCATTTTAAGAACAGTTACTCCATTAACTTTCCCTCCCCAGTTTCAAGAGCATGGCTTTTGTGCAAAGACTTTGCTGTGCCTCAAGCCTCTAGAAGATAATGCAGCCTGGTTAGAAAGACTGCTGTGTATTTCCAGACTTACTGCCTGTGTCCATAGCAGTGAGAAACTCCTTCCTGGTACTTGCAACAGGAGACTGCAGAGCTAGCACACTTACACAGGAGGGACTGGCCTTCTGCTTATGTATGCAAATGTTCTTGCTCTAAATAGAAACTGTTCCATTCATCAATCCCAGTGACTTGATTGTGTTCCAGGGGCATGAGTTTGCATCACCAATGTGTATCAGTCATGTGGCTTTAATCAACTGAGCTGTTCTTTGAAGACTGCTTGCTGCCTGACTCTTCCTCTGCTCTTTAAGCACTGGATCAGCTTGCCCAGAGAGGCTGTGGAATCTCCATCCCTGGGGATATTCAAAAGCCAGTCAGACATGGTCCTGGGCAACCTGCTCTAGCTGACTGTCCTCGAGACAGAAAGTTAGACAAGATGACCTCCTGAGGTCCCTTTCAATCTCAGTCATTCTCTGATTCCTCCACAGCTGTTGCTTCCACTGCCCCAAGAATCTATGAATCTGACCTTTTGACTGGCAGCAGCAATCTGTCCTTCACAGTCCGGTGCATGAGGTAAGAACAGTGCTGCTTGCACTGCAGAAGCAAAGGTTTGGGAACAGCTGGAGACTAGTTGCACTAGCTGAAAGAACTCAGGCTGTAAAGCACGGAAGATCGATCCTAGCTGCCTCTCCCAAAAAAGGATGGCTTTGCTGCTGTCCCAAGCCAGGAATGCTGATGACAGCTTTTCCCCCAGGTTCATGCAGCTTGCTAACTTCACTGGCATTCCAGGCCTTGTGGTCCCCATTGGATATTCTACTTCTGGGCTTCCTATTGGTTTCCAGGTAAGCACTGTCTCTCTGTGAATGCTGGGTCACAACATCTGCAGCTGGCTTTGTCCTGAACCCCC